GCGTGTCTGATGGGGAGGGGGCGGCGGTCCTGGTCTGGGTTTCTGACAGTGGGGTCGGGACAGTGGATGGCTTGGAATGGCAACAGGCAGAGGGACTCTAGGCTCCCCCAGCCCCACCCACCCACTTGAAACCCCAGTCCACCCTCCAGTCCTGGTGAGATGAGAACAAAAAAACACTTCCAGAAGGAGAAGCTAGTCAGCCCAGCTGAGCCTGGAGAAACCCGGGTGATGGATTGGGGGAGGGGTCTGGCCACCCAAGGCCCCTTGAGGAGCTACCACCTGACCTCCGGAGCCCTCAAGAGGCTGCTGGTCTCCCTTTGTCGCCAGTCCCAGCCCCCAGGGAAGGAACCGGTGGAGCGGCAGCCCTGTCTGTCATGGTCCCAGAGAGCTGAAACTTGTGTTCACTGTCCCGGGGCCAGGGCTGCTTTCTGAGAGTGGGGGCCCTGATGGGAAGAGCGGAGCCCACAGAACACAGAGCCTGGCCAGAGGTAGAGCTCAGCTCTTCCAGGCCCGGTCCAGCAGGTCTCTTCTGAGGACTGGGACCCCGCCTTTGGAAACAACAGGGGCCACAAGGACCACGGGAGGTCAGAGAGGACATGCCAGTGTAGGGGAAGGCTTCCTGAAAGAAAGGCCGGCTCGGTAGCATAGTGCCTAAGGCATTTATTTGACTGCTAACCAGAAGGTTGGCGGTTCAAACCCACCAGCCACTACCTGGAAGGAAGATTGGGCAATCTACTTCCCTATAGATTTACTGCCTTGGAAACCCAAGGGGGTCACTATGAGTCAGAATCAATTCGATGGCAGTGATTTAAAAAAAAAAAAGGCTGAGAGGAGTAAGGAAGGCAGTCCAGTCAGGAGAATGACAGGCAAAGACCTGGTGGGGAAGAGGGGGAAAGAAGTTCCCAGAGAGCTGCCAGGAGAGGGGTGAGGGGGAGCAGGAGATAGGGGTGAGCTTGCTGGATTGTCAGGATGCAAAGGGGCCCTGCTTCCAGTGACTCTGGTCGCGCCTCCCATTCCCACCCCGCCCCATGTCTTCCAAGCCTGGATCTTGATGATGTGGAGTGATTTCCTGCCCCGGACAGAGGCTGCAGTCTGATTGATCGTGTATCACAAAGGCTGGTCCCTGGAGAGGCCTGGAAACGCCTCCTGGCTCCACCCAGTGGCTAGGGAAGCCTGGTTCTGCCCAGGACCGTGCGTGGACTACCACACTGCAGAGACTGGCTCCCACGCTACCTTCCCCAGGGCTCAAAGGAGAGGTCCCTGGCAGAGACATCCCTGTTTTCAAAGTGAGGAAGTTGAAGGTTGGAGTTGTGGTCCGTGTCATGTCACTCACCCAGAGTGCAGTGAACCCAGGTCACCCAAGAGCCCTGCACTTGGCCTCCTCCCTAGTTCTGCCCCACAGGACAACTGGGGACAGCACAGCCTGCCCCTACTGTGGCCAAACTCTCTTCCCCCTGGCTTGCAGCCTTCTCTCTCAGGCCCTGTCTGGGCCTCCATTTCTCCGTTGGTAAAGGCCTGGGGCTCTGCCATCCCCGCTACTTGGCAACTGTCAACCTCCAGGGGCTGCTTTTCTGTTGTGGAGACACTCTTGTTCCTCGGCCCAACCCCTTCCTCTTCTGTATAGTCTGGGCTGCACCCAGGGGACACGGATGCTGTGCTGGGCATCAGGCCCGTAGGCCTCTGGCCAGCCAGCAGGGGAACAGAGGGGTGTTCAGGGCAGCCCGACCTGTCAGTACTCTACAGGCCAGTGCCTGCCCAGAACATGGCCACACTCACTGCACCCTTGGCAGATCCTTGTCTGAGTTCCACCGCACTTCCAAGGAAGGGCTAGCTGGGACTCACCCTAAGAGCCCCTCTCCTCAGGGCCCTGCTCCCCCACTCGGCCTCTTCTCCCTGCCAAGGGTTTTCCCAGCAGCAGGAAGAGGAGGAGGGACAGGGAACTGATGCCTAAGAACCAGGCACTGGGCTGACTTCCTCCCTGCCCCCACCTGTCCCCTATTGGACAGCCACATCTCCGTGCTGGCTCCAGTACCAGCCACCCCACTCTGCCGTGTCACTCACTCGGCGCCCCCCCCCCGTTGGTCCCAAAGATACAGGGGAGGAGTCAGCCACTGTGGGGAGCCTCTGCTGCTGGGTGCATGGATGGGCTGGATGGAACACAGGGACAGAGCCTCATGGGCCCAACTGAGGCCCCCAGGAAACGCGACCCCTGCAGGGCAGGCCAGGGCCTAGGCTTTCCACCTTCTCTGGAGGCCTGCCTTGATGGTGGTGGCAAGTTATCCACCCCCTGGTGTAAGAGGAAGCACCAGGAGCCTGGGACAGGACTCGGGCCTGCCTTCCACCCCAGAGAAGCGCCCATGCCAGACATGGACACAGACATGGGAACGGACACTTGGAGCACCTTGTAATTGGCAGCCTGCTAGAGGGGACTACAGGAGCTCAGAGGAGATATTTGTGTGAGGATGGGCCAGGGTAGGGGTCAGGAAGGGCTTCCTGGAGGAAGTGGTCCCGGGAGTAATTGTTGAAAATGAGTAGAGGTTAGGCAGCAACCAAACAAGGAACAGTGGGCAGGGAAAGGCTCCGGCATGTGCCATACTCCTGGACACCTCAGCCTCCATTCTTCCCAAACCCTCATGGATTCTTGGTGCCACCTCTACCCCCTGTCCTGGTAAACCCCGTTCCAAGCCATTGCTTGTGCCACTCTAACCTACAATGCCCTCGTCATCCTCTTTGCCTGCAATGAAGCCCAGTGCATGAAGCCCTCCTCCTCCAGGAAGCCTTCCTGACTAACTCCCTGCCTCTGTCCTCTCCTCCTCCCCAACCCCCCCATACCAGGACCAGCATCACTGAGAGAAGGGCTGGTTTGGAAAACTGACCCAGTGGCTTTCCCAATGCCCTGTGGTTTCTGACTGCAGAGCAGTGGCCAAGGTGGCCTCTAGGCCCAGAGGCCCTGTAGGTGATCTCACACAAGTGAGACAGCTATTTTTACCTGGCATTTAATTACAGAATTTGGACCCAGGGGAGAGAAGAGATGGTGCTCTCAGGAGCGGGGAGGAAAGGGGTGTGCCGGGAGATCTGGGGATCCTGGGAGAAGCAGGTGAGGCCATGACACCTCATCTCAGTTCCTAGGAAGGACAGTCCCTTCTCCACCTTCAGACAGGGGCTCCCCAAGTTACGATGTTCTCCATCGGTGATTTTCAACTAGATGCCAGGGGCGAGGGGCATTGCATAAACACAGAGGACTGGACCTGTGTCCCCTGGACAACGGCCACCTTGGCAGATGAGAAGAGGCACCAAATGACTGGCCAGACATACCCCTTGTCATTTGATCCTGGGTGGTGAGGGATGCTGGGGCCTGGGATTAAGGAGGAGGAAGCAAGGATTCTTGGAGAGGTGTTCCCTGATTTGGACCTCTTCAAGAAGGTGGGGTTTAGACAGGACCTCAAGAGAAACAGGTGGGAATACAGGGTGCAGGCTGCTATGAGAGAGAGAAGTCTGAGGAGGCAGTGTCTTCAGTGCCAGTATGGAAACTTGGTCATACTTAAGCCACACTGAGTGGTGATGCCTGTGCCCTGGAGTCAGGCAGATCTGGGTGAAAATCCTGGACCTGCCACTAACAAGCTGTGTGTCTTCAGAGTCTTGCCTCTTCAGGCCTGCTGTGAGGGCTTTGGGAGTCACAGCTGTGACACACCTTCTACGCTGTTGAACACAGTCATTCATTCAGCCCCTGTTCCTTGAGTGCCAGCCATGTGCCCAGCACTGCTGCTTAAACGATTTTCAGAATCCCTCCCCTTAGGGTCCTGCCATTCTGGCGGGGGTGGGGTGGGGTAGGGAACAAGCGTGGACAACACGCCAAGCAAATCAATACATAGTATGTCCATCAAAACCACTCCCGATGCACTGCCATCAAGTCGATTCCAACTCGTGGTTGATAGAGTAGAAATGCCCCATCGGGTTGCCCAGGCTGTCAGTCTTTATGGAAGCAGATAGACTTCATCTTTCTCCCACAGCAGTGGCTGGTGGACCTCTTCAAGAAGGTGGCCTTTTGGTTGGGAGCCAAAGGCTTTAACCACTACACCACCAGAGCTCCTACAGGGTATGTCACATGGAGATAAATGCTGTGGTGGAAAGTAAGCAGGGAAAGTGGTGGAGTGGGGGTATTTTGTTTCCACAGAGTGGACGGGGAAGGCTAACAGACAAGATGATATTTGAGGAGAAACTCCATGGCAGTGGGGAGTGGGAGAACATGCCAGACAAGTTCAAGTAAGAGTCATGGTACAAAGATGCTGAGGTGGGAAAATGCCTGACAGGCCCGGAGAGCAGCAAGGAGATGTGGCCGGAACCCAGGAGAGCAGCTCTGAGAGGCCGGTCAGGCCCGGCCTTGGGCTTTCACTCTGTGTAGCCGGAGGCCTTGTGGGGACCCCTGTGGAGGGATCCCATTGGTCTAACGTTTTAGAAATACTGTCTGGTCTCCTGGATGGAGAATGAACAATAGGGGGTGTGAGGTTGTGGTCCTGGAGACCATGAAGATTGCTGAGCGGCTGCAGGTAATAAGAGGAGGGGTTATGTGGGTCCCGGAACCAGCCAGAATGGTAAGAAGTGATTGGGTTCCTGGAGGAATTTGAGGGGAGAGTCGACAGGATTCGATGTAAAGACTTTTGAGGTTCTCAGAAGAGGGTACAGAGGGAAGTGAGGTCACTGAGGGCTCAAGGGACCCCACTTCAAGGCACCTGTCATCCCAGATTCCTCCAGCCCAGGAATGACACGGAGGTCCCCAAGACGGTTGTCTGAGGAGTGATGCGGCTGCCCTCCTGCAGATCCACCCTCCTGCCTCTGGGGGCTTCTCCTCACACCCGAGCAATTGTTGACCACCCCCCCAGCTCCGGGGGGCTCTGGGGAGCAAGGGAGGCTGACCGACTGGCCGTGGGAGAGAGGAGGGGACAGGCGGCGCTCTGGTGCAGGCCCGGGGCATAAGGCCACAGCCGCTTCTTCTCCCCCAGCCGCAGGGAGCTGCAATGGGACGGGCGTCATGAATGGTGCCGGCCCCGCCGCCACCAACGCCGCCGCCCTGGGCCCGGACTGGCGGCAGTTCTGCGAGCTGCACGCGCAGGCGGCCGCCGTGGACTTCGCGCACAAGTTCTGCCGCTTCCTGCGGGACAACCCGGCCTACGACACGCCCGACGCCGGCGCCTCCTTCTCCCGCCACTTCGCCGCCAACTTCCTGGACGTCTTCAGCGAGGAGGTGCGCCGCGTGCTGGTGGCGGGACCGGCAGCCCCGGCGGCGGCTGAGCGCCCCAACGCCATGGAGCCGGAAACAGCCAGGTCTCCTGCACTCAAGGCGGCGGCGTACGGCCACTCGCGGAGCTCGGAGGACGTGTCGGTGGCGCACGCAGCCGCCAAGGCCCGCGTCCGCAAGGGCTTCTCGCTGCGCAACATGAGCCTGTGCGTGGTGGACGGCGTGCGCGACATGTGGCACCGGCGCGCCGAGCCCGAGGCCGGCGCTGCTCCGCGGGCTGCCGAGCCCCCGGCCGAGCCACGCGACAAGTGGACGCGGCGCCTTAGGCTGACGCGGACGCTGGCGGCTAAAGTGGAACTGGTCGACATTCAGCGGGAGGGGGCGCTGCGCTTCATGGTAGCAGATGACGCGGCTGCAGGCCCGGGAGGTACCGCCCAGTGGCAGAAGTGCCGCCTACTGCTGCGTAGGGCCGTTGCAGGAGAGCGCTTCCGCCTGGAGTTCTTCGTGCCACCGAAGGTGAGTGTCCCCTCCTACCTGGGGAGGGCGGGCAGTGCATAAGAGCCTGGTACGACTTTGGGCTTTAGATGACCGGTAGCACCTCGTCTGGTTGACAAGATGCATTATTTAGTGTCTAGAGCCTGGGATGTGGGCCCAGCTCTGCCTCTTGGACCATCACCCCAGTCAGCTGCTTCATCTGGAAAGTGGGAGAAGGGTCTTGGTTGGCAAAGACTCTCAGGCCACTCAGGGGCTCCTGGTGGTGGAGAGCGGGGCCTTACCCTGCTCCCCTCCTCTTCTGGGGCCTCAGGAAAGTAGGCTGTCCAGAACAGAGGTCTGCATGGATGAGGGCTCCTGATGGTCCGTCCCTGGCTCAGTGGGAATCTGCTTGTCCCCAGCCCAGATGGCCCATTTCTGGCCCAGGAAAGCTTGGCTTCTTTGTAGCAGGGTCGGGTTCACCTTTGGGGATGACCATCAGAGCCCTCCAGGCAGCTGTGATCCCAGGCTGGCAATCCTGTATTCTCTAGAAAGAGACTACGTTGGCTTTCTGAGACCCACCCGGTGCCCAGCCCTAGGCCTGGTGGGCAGTGTGCTCACACACACTCGTTCCCCCAGTGTTCAGACCCTCAGAGTGGCCTGCCCAAAGTCACACAGCTGGTGGGTGGCAGAGCTGGGCTAATTATACCCACCCCCCCTGGGCAGTGGGGTCTGGAGAATGAAGTGACTGGAGGTGGGCACTGCTTGTGCACTGGGGGGCAGCAGAGAGGTGGCATGCTGATCTGGTGTGGCAGCTGGTGGCACTCCCAGGAGCCACCCAGGCCACTAGCCCACATCAGAGCCCTTAGTCACCCTTGGCCCTTACTCCATTTCCTAATCTGCTGCCAATTCTGGGTGCCCCTCCCCACTAGGAGTGTAGGGCTGTGGGCTTCCCACAGCTAGTGTCCATGAGCTCCATGGACTCAGCTGGCGGGGGGCGGATGACGGTGACATCCCAGGGACACGTTTACTCTCTAAAGTGCAGTCTTTCCAAGTCCCAGGGCCTTTGATCTGTTCAGGCCCTGCCCTTTGGTCCCTGAGAGAGATCACACACCACTAAGTCCAGCACCACTCCTTGTCAGTCAGGGAGACTGAAGCCTGGTGAGGGACAGGAAATAGGACAGAGCTTGCCCTGGGTCATCCAAAGGGCAAGGGCCGAGGCCTAGGCCTTCAAGGCCTTGGGGCCCTGAGTGGCAGTCTCAGCTGTCTGACTGAAAATAGCAGTGTCTGTCTGCTGTTCACGGGGGAGGGGTGCAGCAGCTGGCGGCGTCTCCATCAGCCTGGCCAGCGCCCGCTGACATCAGTGTTGGCAGCGGGCAGGGCCCCTGAGGGGTCACTGGGCCTTTCCCAGCCTCTGAGGGAGGCAGATGGGCTCCCACTCCCTTAACCCCAGTTTGGTCTCAGACCCTCTTTCTCATCATACACACGTTTGGGTATTCAAGAGTGGCCCCATGGGAGCACCCTACCAGGGTGAGATTTCAGGTTGGAGATCTCAAGTAGGTTTGGTCGCAGATGACCAAAGGCCCCAAGGGGAGTTAGCCCCACAGGGTACCTCTGCTGACACAGCCCAGATCAGCCCAGGGAGCCATGAGGCTGGCCCCCTGCTTTGGGAGAGCTACCAGGAAACATGTAGTGGTGGGACTGAGTGGTGAACCTCAGTGGAATGAGTTCTGGGACCCCGGACGGGCATCCTGGGAGGCAGGAGCTGAGGGAGCAGAGGCCTGAAGGGGTGACATGGCCTGCCAGCAGGGGGGTGCAGGAGCAGGGTGAGTGAGAGGCAGCGGGGCTGCGACAGGTCAAGGAGGCAGTGCCTGCAGCCAGTGGAAGTGGAGCCCAGGCTTCTCCGTTCCAGCCCCCAGCTCCACTGGCTGGTGTGATGGTTGTCACCATGGTTAGCTGAGCCCCTTGGGCACGGCCTCAAGCCCAGCCCCGTGCCTTCTGGCCAGTGCTGCCAGGAATTCCTGTGCCCCCGCCCATGAAACCTAGGGCCCTTCCCTTTCCTCCTGAGAAAGTCCCTGTCCTGGAGCCCGAGACCTGCTGGGAATCCCAGTCTCAGGCCAGCCAAGGGGCTTCAGGGCTCTGGCCAGTAGCGAGGCAGAGTGGGCAGGGCCAGCACCGTGGTCCTCCCAGGGAGCCCCGCCTGCTCCCATTGTTGAACTTTGTAGCATTGATGGGAGCCCTAGACTCTTCCTCACACCTACCCCAGCCTGGGCACCTGGGAGCGGGCAGAGCCGAACTGGGGAAGTCTAGTCGGAAGCAGGAAACCAGGTGTTGTGTTTTGTTTTGTTAAATGAAGCAGAATGAAGTGGAAAACATCACACTTCTTCACCCACAGTAAAGAGCTCTGGTGGTGTTGTGGTTAAGGCATTGGGTTGCTAACCAGAAGGCCGGTGGTTTGAACCCACCAGTCACTGTGCAGAAGAAAGATGAGGCGGTTTGCTTCTGTAAAGATTTATAATCTTGGAAACTCAATGGGGGTCGCTGTTGTAAAGCCTGAAAGGTCTCTTAACCAGAAGCCTTTAGTATGGAGATTGACACGTCCCATGCTGAGCCCTAATGCCTCCAGGTAGATTGACACGTCCCATGCTGAGCCCTAATACCTGTAGTAAATATCCCATACCTCAGAGCCTTTTATCAGAAATCTGCATGGCTCCAAGAAGCCTCTCACCCACCTTTGAAGACTAGGAGGGCTTTCACCCCTGGGGTTTCGCAGAGAATATGCACATATCAAAGAGATCCGGGTTTTGCAGAGAATATGCACATATCAAAGAGATCCGCCTGGGCCCCAAGAAATCTCTCACTCACCTTTGAAACCAGGGGAATTCCAACCTGCCCCAAATTCCCAAACCCCTATCATAAAAACCAAATTATCTACTCTGTGTTTCTCTACAAATATCCCTTAATGTAAGAGCACGGGGTCTTTTGCTCAACCCACTGCGAGGGTGAAAGCAAGGACCCTAACTTAAGTTAGCTAATAAACTTTCCTATTGCTTTTTGCATTGTTGCATGTTGGCAATTTATTCACCCCGAACTACTCCTTCATAACCTGGGCACAACACTGTGAGTCAGAATGGACTCAGTGGCAGTGAGTTTGGGTTTGGTCACTCACAGTAAGGGTAAATATTATCCAGTGAAACGTTTGTTCCAGAGGTGTTTTCACCTGTGCATGTGGGTACTAGGCCACAATGTCAAAAGTATTTCATACTGTGGGTCAAGTAAAAAAAAAAAAAAAAGGATGAAAACCACAGGCCTTGTGGGGACACCAGGCAGAAGGCAGCCTGGGTGAGTTCATCCCTACAGGGAGGAAGGAAGGATGCAGGTGACAGTCCAGTTGTGGTCCTGATACGTTGTGTGACTATAGAGGGGTCCATTCTCCTCTCAGATGCGTCCTCACCTTCCCCATCTGTGAAATGGGGGCGGAAATGGCTCTGTGCCAGGGCTGCATGGCGTTCCGAGCTGAGGAAGGAGGGGGTAGTGAGGAGCCCCGGGCACCACACTCACTGCCCCTTCCGCTGTCTCCCAGGCCTCCAAGCCCAAGGTCAGCATCCCCCTCTCGGCCATCATTGAGGTCCGCACTACCATGCCCTTGGAGATGCCAGAGAAGGACAACACGTTTGTGCTTAAGGTAAGGACTCCCCTCCGACCCCACAGGTCCTCCGGCCACCCCTAGCCCCCTCCTTCATGGGTGGTCCAGGTGGAGGTCACCATAGGGTGGGGGGAGGGTAATGTCAGGCCCCAGAGCCGTCTTGAACCCAGCCCGTCACCTAGGCTGCTTGTTCCCATTTCCTCCCTGGTCTGCGCACAGCTCCTCTGAGTTTCACTTCCTCCCCTTCCCCCCCCCCACCCCACCCTACAGGAGCCAGCACCCACCCACCCCACCCTGGGGGTTAGCGGTTATGCAAATGATCCAGTCTCTGGGCACTGGAGTGTGGGAACAGGCAGTCCCACATAGGGCACAAAGGGTGGGCAGGGAGGCACCCCAGTGGGTCTGGAGGCAGCCTGCCCTATTCCCAGGCCCCTTGTCACCGTTGAGGACACGGCTCCAGGCCCAGGCTGTGGCCCTGTGCCTCCTCACAGCATAGAGGGTGTTTGTCCCCAGGGAGGCCCGGTGCTGCCCCCCCCTTCCCCCAAGGCTGCATGCATGCAGCCCAGCCTTCCCCTCCAGGCTCCTGCTGGGGTTCTGGTCTTTGCTTGTGCCTACTAGCTCACTCATTCATTTAGCAAACACTGCCAGCCCCTCACCCTGAGCCACCTCCTCTGGGCTGGAGATGTAGCTCCTGCCACCAGACATGTCATCTGCCATGTGAGAATGGCCCGAGACAGCCCCGACAGCAGGGCGGGCCACCATGCTGCTGAGTGTGCCCGGGCCCATCTGCCAGCCCCGCTCTGGGCCTCAGTTTCCCATCTGTTCAGGACAGGGTGGGGGTGCCTCCCACCTCTGAGAGGCCAGCAGTCTGCATTTTAACGTAGCACACAGCAGGGCACAGCACAGAGAGCATCCCGGGGACCTGGGTCCAGGTCCCAGCACTGCTACTGCCACTTGTGTGACTTTGAGCAAGTTACTTGATTTTTCTGAGCTCTATTTTCCCATCTGTAAAATAAGGAATGTAGGCTCCCCCTCGAGGGGGCTGGAAGGAGCTTATGACAATGTAGACAGAAGGTCACACGCAGGCCTGGCTGTAGCGAGCACTTCCTCCTACACGCTTACTCTTTTGTAGGCTGCTTATCCTGGGGGAAGCTCTGGGGGTGCAGTGCCTAAGGTATTTGACTGCTAACCAGGAGGTTGGCAGTTCAAACCCCCCAGCTGCTCTGTGGATGGAAGACGAGACAATCTACTTCAGTAAAGATTACTGTCTTGGAAACCCAATGGGCCGCTATGAGTTGGAATCAACTCAATGGCAGTGGGTTTGGTTTGGTGTTTTGGTTTATCCTGGGAGTGACCATCACAGTGACATTCCAGGCTTTGAGTCATGAGAGCAAGGTGGGTTTGGTGCCCTGTGACTCAGTGAGCTGGGCCAGCTGGCCTTGCAGGGTGACCTGAGGTTGAGATGTCCTGTCATCCAACTCCATGTTGCCAGGCATTGTTTGGGGATGCTGGGAGGTCTGTCCCTCCCCAGTCAGCGTGGCTGCGTCTCGTGGGTCAGCTGAGCTGGATGCCATCTTGGTGGGGGATGGGAGGAAGGGGCTGCTGAGAGTGTGGGCTGCAGGCTCCACCCCGGGATGCTGGCCCAGGTTTGGCCCAAGCTCCACTGTTGTTCTTATCCGTGAGCCTCCACAGGAGAAGAGGGGACTTGCCTTAGCACACTGACCCTTAGCACACTGGTCCTGGGGTCTGGAGCCACCCTGCTAAGGGTGGAGGAGGGTTGGACCACCAAGTAAGGGCTACGCTCCTGGCCCGCCCCCTCCCAGGTGGAGAACGGAGCTGAGTACATCCTGGAGACCATCGACTCGCTGCAGAAGCACTCGTGGGTGGCTGACATCCAGGGCTGCGTGGACCCTGGGTGAGTGCCTGGATGGCCCTGGGATGAGCGGGCGGGGTAAGGGTCTGGCTGGGCTGTGCCTCTAGTGCAGACTTCCTGGTCAGGGCAGGAGCTGAGCTCAAGAGACAAGTTCTTATAGTCCTGTCCTGGTGGATTCGAGCAAGGCTCAGATGAGGGCAGCCCTCCCGCCTCCACCCTCAGCAGGCTCTGTGAGGTCTGCTCTGCAGGGTCGGGGCCTGGGAACCTGGAGGCAAGTCTTGTCCGCACCCCAGGAGCCTCGGACCACTGGGACATGGGCAGTAATGGGGGTGAGCGCAAAGGCCTGGGGAAGGCGACACCCTGGGGCTTAGAGGCGGGGTCTGGGATGGAGGCAGGGCCGAGAGAATAGTACATGGAGAGGTGCCGTGTGGACAAGAGCCTGGGAGCTGCAGGGAAGCTCAGGGCCTTCAGGGGACCTAGAGCTCTGGTGGCGCAGTGCCTAAGGCATTTGACTGCTAACCAGAAGGCTGGCGGTTCAAACCCACCAGCCACTCTCGGAAGGAAGGTTGGGCAATCTACTTCTGTAGTGATACTACTGCCTCAGAAACCCAAGGAGGGGTCGCTATGAGTCGGGTCCAACTCAACAGCTCATGACAACAGAGCTCTTGAGGAGAGGGTGTCATTGAGAGCCAGGGTAGGGCAGGGCCAGTGGGAGCCATAGCCAGTGATGAGCCGAGGGCAGGAATGGGAGGGGCAGGCGGGCCAGCAGCGGGGCACTTGGCAGCAGCTCCTGTTGGCGAATGGGGTGAGCTGAGCCCCAGGGGGTGGGGCCACTGCTTTTAATTAACAGCCTCATTGAAGGCAGCACAATTAAAGTCCTGAGTGCCTGCCCAGCCTCCATCTCCAAAGCGTTGTAACCCCTCCCCTGCCACCATCCCCGCCATCTGCTCCACACCCTTGTCCCTGCCCCTACAGAGGTGAACCTCGCTCTGCAGTGCTTCAGAGCTGGCCCAGACACCTCATCTCACAGATGAGGAGACCATGACCCAGGCAGGGGAGGGAGCTGCCCAGGCCCCGCCCACCATGAGACCCTCCCACCCCTAGAGTGACTCCACGCAAACCCACCCCTCAGGGTTAGTGGGCAGGGGTCATGTGGCCTCAGGGAGGACTGCCCACTTGGAGGCCTCACCAAGGGTGGGACAGAGGGACGTTGAAGTGAAGGGACCCCAGGTGAGCAGATGGCAGGCCCAAGCCGAGGCTAGTCGTGGGGCTGCCAGCCACTCACTGCCCGGCTCCAGGCCCCATGGCACCACATGTGCGTTCTGCCTCTGCAGGGACAGTGAGGAGGACACCGAGCTCCCGTGTACCCAGGGAAGCTGTCTGGCCAGCCGTGTGGCGTCCTGTAGCTGTGAGCTCCTGGCAGACGGTAGGTGAGGGCAGGGCTGGAGGGGGTGGGTGGCAGGATGGGAGAGGGTGGACAGACAGACAGACAAGCTTCTCATCATCTGCCACTTCCCCAGCAGCAGACCTGCCCCACCCCCCAGAGACAACAGCGGCAGTGGGGGCCGTGGTGACCGCCCCGCACAGCCGGGCTCGGGATGCCATTGGGGAATCGCTGGTCCACGTCCCTCTAGAGACCTTCCTGCAGACCCTGGAGTCCCCAGGTGGCAGCGGCGGCAGTGACAGCAGTAACACAGGTGCCAGTGCAGGCAGGCGGTTCTCCTTGCCCTTCCTGGACCGCACCCCAGGCGTGGGAACCCGTGACTCTGCGGGCTTCCTCCACAGCCCACCTGAGCCTCGGAAGCTGTGACATGTTATCCTACCGGCTCCTCACAGCTCCTCAGTAGCTCTGGGTGGAGAGGTTTTTGCAGTGCAGCTGGGGGGCCTGGCCCTTCACACAGGACGTAATCTCCCATGAAAACGTTCACACAGAGGGTACAGAGGGCTCGAACCAGGGGTGGAGTGGGGACAGGAGACCTGATTTGTTCCAGGTTTGTCTGTGACCTGTCTCTCTATGCCTCAGTTTACCTCACGCTTAATTAGCAGGTTGGGTCAGCAAAGTTCCCTGCTTAGTTCTAAAATTACTCAAATAGCACTTCATATTGAAAAACCAAAGAGATGTTGCATCCCTCACTTCCTACCCCCCTGACACCACCCTCCGTCCCCAGGGGAGGAGGCAGCGGAGCCCGAGCCCGACCCGGAGTCCGAGCTGGAGCTCTCTGGCTACCCCTGGTTCCACGGGACACTGTCGCGGGTCAAGGCAGCTCAGCTGGTGCTGGCAGGGGGACCACGGAACCACGGCCTCTTTGTGATCCGCCAGAGTGAAACTCGGCCTGGGGAGTACGTGCTGACCTTCAACTTCCAGGGCAAGGCCAAGGCAAGTGTGCGTGGGGCCACAGGAGCTGTGCAGACAGCTGGGTGGGGGGAGCGTCTACAGTAGCCTTGGTTCTGAGGTTGCACCCAGAGCAGACTCCATTGGGTGTTAACTGGCATAACTTCCCCTGGGCCAGGCCTACCCTGGCCACGTTCTGTGAATCTATCTATCTATTTATCCTTTCTCTCTCTCTCTCTCTCTCTCTCTCTCTCTCTCTCTCTCTCTCTCTCATACACACACACACACACATCTCTGAGGGCTGCAGCCAGCCTGAGCCAGCTTTTCTGTTATCCAAATGGAGATAGGACTTGCCGGTAGCCCAGCCCATTGGAGGCTGGACCTTCCGGAACCTTGCAGGTCCTTTTAGACCCTGTGCTTTGGGGCTTCTGACAGTCTTCACTCAGAGCCATCTCGGTGCAGGGCTGGGATCAGCCAAGGCCCCACTTCCAGACAGCCCCTCTTCCCTGCTCAGGTCAGTTCACCAGCCCCTGTTGGACTCTCGCTCTGGGCCAGCCCTGGGCTCAGGCAGATGGCCAAGGAAGAGAACCGTACTCAGATGCCCAAAGAACTGGTCCAGGCAGGAGGGCAGCCCAGTGCCTGAGGGATCCCAGAGGAGGCCCCTGATCCCACCAGCTAGCGTGGATCTGAGATGAGAAGTGGGAAGAAGAATTGTGTAGGTGGGGACAAGTGGGAAGGGTGGCCCCGACGGGACACGGCATAAGCAAAGGCACGGAGATGCAGCAGTCTACGGAAGGGACTGCTGTGCTAATAATAAGCTAAGGTGCCAAGGAAAATATAACAGAAAAGTCAAATGACCCGGGGTGGGGGCAGGAACCTCAGTTCCGCACGCTGCCCCCCACCATGTTTCCCGGAAGGGAGCACTCATCCCCTGCTCCTCCTAGGACATGGGTGCTGGTTAGTCCCCACTGGAGGAGGAGGACCCCAGGACCCCTGCTTCCAGCCTGCAGCTGGTGGTCAGTGTCAGCAGGCCCCCACCTGCCCCAGTGCCTGGCTGGCCCGGCAGCCCTCTGGTGCTCCCTGGGCACTCTCCCTGGCTGCGCTGGCTCCGCCTTGGAGGAGGCAGCACCTCCCCGGGGACACCGTAGAAAGCCCTTACCAGCTCCTCCTTACCAGGCACTTAATAGCTTACCTTGGCCAGCCTTGCTCCAGACTGCTTCCCCAGAGGGCTGGATCTGACCCAAGGTGAGGTGGCACTCAGCCTAGCAAGGGCAGGGGGAAGGATGGCGAAGCAGGCATTGAATCAGCCCCTCCCCTCTGCCCAGAGGGTTCTCTCAGAGCCAGGTGACTGCCCCCGGTCAGGTGAGTTAGTGGGAGGCGAGGGGAGGAGCCCTGATTGCAGACCCTCAGGGCAGGAGGATGCCAACCTTCCCAGGCTCAACTTTGACTTTCAGACCCTTAAGAGACCGGGTTGAGTCCCTACCCTTAGGCTGCCTGAACTTGCCCTGTGTTTGCTCACAAGTGTGCCTGGCAACTTCCTGCCCTGGGAGTAGCAGAGCTCATTATAGGGATCAGGCACCCCACCTGACTGCCACCCTACTTTCCAGAACTTCTCTGTCCTTTTTGCGGACTGCTAGGCCAGCTTCCCTTCCGGGACTTGGGGTCACATGTATCCTCTAAAAGCCTACCTTTCACCCCACCCCTTCGCCACACATGCCACACATGCACTCCAGACACCAGTGTTCAAAGATCTGTGGTTCACCACTGGGGACCACAGGCCTGTGGCTTCTCACCCTAAGGCACCTGCCCCTGGGGGCCCTGGACACCTAGGGAAGGCCCGATCTGTTCCCCCGGCTCCAGGTACTCCCACAGTAGCATAGTCATTTCCATCAGCCAGGCCCAGGGATGTCCACCCTCTGAGTATTGGCTTTGCAGGGGACAGAAGGCAGCCCCCTAGCCAGCTGGGCTAAGGGGGTCACACAAACGTGAGTTCTCCTCCCAGTTCTGTGCTTGGTAACTAGAGCCAGTCACTTGCCCTCCCTCTGCCTCAGTTTCACCATCTTTAATATGGAGGCATTAATCCCTATCTTCTGAGACTTTGAGGACACTGCAGATGGGGGCATGAAGGGCACCAGGCCAGGCTTGGTGGGAGTGCTCCCAGCTTGGGGGCAAGTGCCCCCTGTCTGTGGTCCCAGCCTGGATCCATCACCCCTGACCCCCTGATCGGCCCCATCTGGCCTCTCTGAGAGCTAGTCCTCCCGACCACCTCAAAGGTGGTTGCCAAGCAGGGGGCCAATGTGGGACCGCATCACTGATCACACCTGCCTGTGCCCACAGCACCTTCGCCTGTCCCTGAACGGCCACGGCCAGTGCCACGTGCAGCACCTGTGGTTCCAGTCCGTGCTTGACATGCTCCGCCACTTCCACACCCACCCTATCCCGCTGGAGTCCGGGGGCTCGGCGGACATCACCCTGCGCAGCTATGTACGGGCCCAGGGCCCTTCGCCTGGTAAGGCGCCCCCATCTGGCAGTGTGATGGCTTAGGCAGACACGGGGCCACCCAGCGGGTGGAATAAGCATCAGGTTTCCAGGCCCCAGTCTGGTCTGGGGGTGGCCCACCACATCCGGGTCCTGAGTGACCCATACAGTGCTCAGAGACCCCCGCACAGCTGGAACTGAGCAC